GACTGAGGAATCACCTTAAATGGAAGAAGTCTGGGGCAACAGGGCAGGGAGGTATGAGTGGGGCAGGAAGGACACTGAATCCAAAGAAAGATCTGGACTGAACTCTTCAGGTTGGACTGTTTCTCCATGAGGGCCAGGGTTGAGATGTTTATTTTCTCATCACTTCCTAATGTGACATCACTCAGTTTGGTATGATGTCACTTTGTTTATTTTCTCATCACTTCCTAATGTGACAGTTTGGTATGATGTCACTTTGTCTTTCACCTCATCACAGGTTTTCAGTTTAATGAGCTGAAATCACTTATTTCTTCAACGTCAAAGAAAAATAAAATTGTCATGATCGTCGGAGGCTGCGGTCGGCTACTACAACCAGTGATTCCAGTGATCTGAGATGCCCTGGTCCAGTGGGAGAGTCCAGTCCAGTAACAAAGCAAACAAACGCTGCACCGAAGCCACATGTCAACCACCAACAACTGAGTAAACACAACCGCCGTCAGGAAACGCCGGCTGTTTGTTTGGAAGAAGATATTGATCCACCGCTCTCTCACTTTAGACTCTCTACACAGTCCAGCCCACACGGACCACGGCCTGTGGGCCAGAGGACTGCAGAGTGGACTGAGGGACAGATGTGGGGACGTGGCTGAGGTGTCGCCGTCCCTGGTCCCCCCCCACCCCCACCATAGAATGTCGTGCACATGAACAGGAAACGTGCGGTGAATGTGTGACACGGTGTGAATGAGCGCGGGAACACGAGCGCGTCCTACCTTCCAGCACGCTGCGTATTATGGCGGCCGTGTGCTCGGCCAGCAGGTCGGCCTGGGCTATGGCGGCCAAGGACAGGTAGCTGGACATGTTCCTGCTCAGCTCCCTGTTCCCCCTCTGCAGGAACCGCACGGCCACAGGCACGGCCAGCACCATGACGGAGGGACAGCTGTAGTTCTGTGGAGGGAACGGGTCTTTAGACTGCAGGGTTCTGACCCACTGAGCCACAGCGTTGTATGAAAACATTTACAGTACAGTATCATTACAGTAGTTCTTATACTAGAAGGTTACTTTAGTGTAGGAGTATATTTCTGTCAGTGTATAAAAACAGTGTATTTACTGTATATATGAACAGGAAGTGGCTGCTGTTCATCTTCTGATGACGAACCTGAACCTTGGAGTACCCTTACTCCACCACTAGTCTGATCTGGATTATTTAATTTTCAACATTTTAAAAACACAGTGTGCAGTAAATAGTACTAAGAGCCTCTGGTACTGTTTACAGTAGAGGAGAGGAACACAGGAGGGATGTCTGTCAGACAGGAGCAGTCTGAAGGACAATAGCGCCCTCAACTGGTGGTCGGGGTGATTTTTCATACAACGGTACACCACATGTCGTTGTGAGCAGCTTCCTCTCTTCCTGTTATCAATGACATCTGATCGTTAGTATTGATGATCTATATCCGGTTTCTGTTCCTTTTTTAATTGCTTAACTGCTTGTGTCCGTTCAACCAGGACTTTGGCTCCATTCGGAATCCTGCCACAAGATGTCAGTGCAGACAACAAAATAAAACAGATGAGGCAAAGTAGGAAACCAAGATTCAGGTTAGAAGGGTGTAAGGGGGGCAGTGAAGGGGGGGCACTAACCCTTTTTTTAGTTGAAATATTAACAACTTCAGCCGAGGTCAACACACGGTGATGGGAGACTGGTCAGTTTGGCACAGACTGGTCGACAACGACTAAAGTTCAGTTCAGCTCCAGACCAGGGTTTAGTCACAGTGAACTGAGTTTATGGTAGAGTTTTAAGAAGCTGTGTGTGTGTGTGAGTGTGTGAGTGTGTGTGAGTACCTGCAGGATACAGCTGGTGATGTCAGAGGCTATTTTGGCGTGTGGCGTGTCCTCCGTGTGTTCACCTTGTGGAGTCAGGTTGTGTTCCAGACAGGACTCCCACAGTCCCACCAGAGCTCCACTGTGTCTCTGGATGGAGCCCGTCTCCCGGATGGCCGCGGTGATGCGTGTGATGCAGATCTCCACCACGGCCTGGTCGTTGTCATTGGTCAGATAGTCCTGTCGGCGGGCAGATAAACCAGAATACAGATCAGCTGTCCAATGATAAATGAAGGAGGTGGGGGTATTTATGGAGCAGGTGGGGCATGAATAATGGATGAAGGTCAAGTTGCTGATATTTCTGGACAAATATCCACGTGTGTGTGTGTGTGTGTGTGTGTGTGTGTGTGTGTGTGTCCGTGTCCGTGTCCGTGTCCTCACCCACCGGTGAGCAGGAGATGGTCTTGATCTGCTCCAGGGCCTGTGATAAACATCCTTCGATCTCCGAGTCGTCCAGAGAGAACAGGTCCCCGGCTCTGGACAGGTCCCTGTGTCCCAGCACCTGACTGAACAGCTGGTGCATCATGGTCCAGGTTTGGGACCAGCGTTCAACGCTCAGTACCAGTCCCTTCACAGGAATCTTACAGAAGCTTCTCACTGATCCAGGAGCAGGTGGACTGGAACATTCTGTTGAAGAAAGAAGAGAAAGAAAAGTCAAACTGACAAATGAAATAATAAAGAAGCGACTCCACAGTCAGAGACAAAACAGGACAAAACAAACAAACAAAAACATTAACAAAAAAAAACAACTTTAACAGCAGTCAGTCGATCTAAGGGTTCACTTCCTGGTTGAAGATTCCACATGTCGTGTGTTAACCATTAGCTGATCCTGTCAACCTGGAATTAAATATTAAAAGTTCCCTCTCTGCTCAGAAACACACACACACACACCGACACACACACCGACCGTTATCTCTGCTGCCAAACCAGTGACGGTCCAGTAAAGCCGCCCATCGCTGGGATACAACACCAGGAATTCTCGATGGTTCCAGCCAGACCAGAGCAACAGAACGGATACAGACAAAGAGGCTGAGGATGTATGGGGCTTTGGAGCAGTGGTTCTTGCTCCTGCCTTACAGTAAGAAGGTCACCGGCCTGATCCTTGCAGGTACTGGACCTGATGGTCTCTGTGTGGAGGAAGTTCTAGTAGCAGCTGTACGGCAGTACAAAGAGGGGGGGAGGGGGGGGGAGACAGACATCAGTGGGTCTGATTTCAGCCCTGAACTTCATCACGAACCTGAAGATCAGTCAAATACTGAGACAATTCTAAAGTCAACGATCACATGCTGCAGACCAATGAGTGACTGGACCGTGAGGACAAAGTGGGAGAAGAACCCCCCCTCCCCCCCCACACTGCGCTCTCTCTCTCCCCCCGTCCCCTCTCTCCTCCACCAACACAGAGAAAACACTGAGCCTTTTGTGTAACCATATAAGACAGACCCC